AAAAAGTTTAATAAATTAAATCACTACCAGAAATATGCGTAAAGATAGCACATAAAGATATCACTAATTTGGAAACTGTTATTATAGAGGGTCAGCTAGGTTGGGGTGCTATATTACAGTATTAAGTTATCGCAATACAATTATTTCATTATGCAGGAAACTAAAAATGTGTTTTGGAGCCCAAAATTTTGCTATGCCGCCAATACTTAGTAAATTATTCAGTTTTGAGCGCCACTACTTAGTAAAAAAAAAACCGAAACACATCTCTATTTGTTGAAGAAAAAAAAGAAAAACAGATCTAGCAAAAACAAAACACATCTCTCGATTTCTCCGACATCCCATCTCCCTCTGCAACGAAGACGAGCACAGCCACCACGAGACTCATCGCCGGCAATAATCTCGATCTTATACGGCCTCTATTTCAGTCTTCCATCTTTAGCCTCTCCGCCGTTAAAATTAGGTCTTTCTTCAGCTTCAGTTGTCCTCTCCGCCGTTCAAATTAGGTTTTCCTTCAACTTCGGTTGTCCTCTCAGCTTCAGTTGTCCTCTCAAATTAGGTTCATTAAACTCACAACCAGAAGCAGTCAAACAAACACACAATAACAACAGTTTAATCACATAGACATACCAACCACAGAATATTCATGGTCAAACACACAAGAACAATCACATAGACATAACAATCATAGAATATTCAACACAGAACATTCACAGCAACTGTCGAAAACTGAAATTGGGGAACATTGCTTTTTACCTCTACAACCAAAAGTCTCAACAAGATGATTCTCTAGCTTATTTTCGTTCAAGATCCTCTTCGTTATCCCTTACTTGAAACCAAATACAAATTCAGTGACAAGCACATGAATTAAAAATGAGAACAACTAAAGCTAAAGGACAAAATTGGTGAAATTCGTACCTTCGAGTTTCGTATTGCTGCAGAGTGAACGGCTGAGAGGACAACCGAAGTTGAAGGAAAACCTAATTTGAACGGCGGAGAGGACAACTGAAGCTGAAGGAAGACCTAATTTTAACGGCGGAGAGGCTAAAGATGGAAGACTGAAATGGAGGCCGTATAAGATCGAGATTATCGCCGGCAACGAGTCTCGTGGTGGCTGTGCTCGTCGTCGTTGCAGAGGGAGATGGGATGTCGGAGAAATCGGGAGATGTGTTTTGTTTTTGCTAGATCTGTTTTTTTTTCTTCAACAAATAGAGATATGTTTTGTTTTTTTTTTACTAAGTAGTGGTGCTCAAAACTGAATAATTTTACTAAGTATTGGCGGCATAGCAGAATTTTGGGTTCCAAAACACATTTTTTAGTTTCCTGCATAGTGAAATAATTGTATTGCGCTAACTTAATACTGTAATATAGCACCCCAACCTAACTGACTCTCTATAATAATAGTTTTCAAATTAGTACTATTCTCATGTGCTATCTTTACGCATATTTCTTGTAGTGTATTTAAACGAAGAATTATCTATTCCTTCGTTAATTTAGCTTAGATCAATTAGTTGTTCACTCGGATTGATATGACTCAAGATTATCTGAATTGATAGCTAGTTGTTGACAAAGAAATAACTATTTCAAATCGGTTTAATAGTTTTCTTAATCAAATCAGAATTCGAAGACCACATCTGAAAATTTACAAAACGAATTTTTTATTTGGTAACTTAAATGACACCAAATCAAATCTAAACCGAATTCTTTTGACTTGGTTCATTTTATTCTAGACTTGTAACTAATTTGGTTGGGTTTTTTTTTTTTTTTTAAACTAATTTGGTTGGTGCATGCATAATAAAACGTAATCGAATTAATAATGAAGATTTTATATTGACTATCAAAATTAGAAGTCATATATTGATATATATAGCAAAATCAAAATTTGAGAAGGAAGAATTGATTTTCTTTTCTACTCTCTTGGTTGGTTCATCATTCATGCACGATGAAAACATTTGTTTTTCTCAAACAACCGACTTGACATTGTATTTATTTGAATGATGTAAGTTGTGTAACCCTCTTTTAATAAAAAGAGACTCTTTTGGTGTTAACTATGACATTATTATTGGTTAGCAAAAAAAATAAAAAAATGACATTATTATTCCTAGAAATCCTTATTTGGCAGCTAGATAGGGGGGAAATGTTTTTATTTTTTTTCCAATTTTTTCGTTCTTTTATTTTGTTAACAGTCTTTCTTCCATCTACTCTCCTTGATGCAATATTCACATGGAAAACAGTTGACACTACAAAAAAAATTAGTTTTTTCCTTTTTTAATACTAAAAAGTTTGGGTCCGTAATTACTAAGAGGTTTTTCAATATTAGTTTTGATAATTTTTTAATCTATTCAAAAAATATTTATTTATTGGACGAGACCAAAACTTAGTCTCGTCCTAAATGTCATTCGAACTTATGAATGATCGTTTTATTTTGTCCTATGAATATAACCAAAATTTTTATCTTCGTTTTTGGTCTCTTGTATCATTGAATTAGTTCTATAAAGAAAAAATAGAAATGGAGAAATTTATTTGAATACGACTTTGTTTAGATAAACACAAAAGATAAAGATCTAGGAATGCTGGTTGAAATAATAGAAATGAAACCTAACAAACATAATGTTATTAAGAGGGAAATTTATGCGTGGAAAGGATGAAGAAACTTTTTGTGTAATAGTTTTGTTCTCTACC